GGTGGAGAAGGAAGACCGCCAGAAGATCGTCCTGAACTTCGGCGCCGTCGAGTTCCTCTCCAGCGCAGCCCTGGGCAAGCTGATCAGCTTCGAGAAGAAGGTGCGGGCCAAGAAGGTGAAGCTGATCCTCACCAACATCCGTCCGGAGATCTACGAGGTCTTCGCGATCACCAAGCTGACGAAGCTGTTCACGATCAAGGACGACGAGGCCGACGCCCTGGCGGTGCTCTGATCCCTACTCCAGAGGTCGCGGCGATCTCCGGAACGATCGCCGCCCTCCCACACCAGCGTGAGGCGGCTCTGTGACCGCACAGTGGGACTGGACCGGCGAGATGACGATCCCGAGCAAGCTCGGCGCGCACCTGCCGTTTCTCGAAGAGGTGCTCGCCCAAGCCGAGGCCCTCGGGTGGACGGGCCGCGACTCGTTCGGCGTGCAGATGACGCTCGAAGAGACGCTCACCAACGCCATCCGCCACGGCAACCACAACGACGAGTCGAAGCAGGTCCACGCCGCCTGCAAGCTTAGTGGCGACCGCTTCTGGCTCAGCGTCGAAGACGAGGGCGAGGGCTTCTGCCCCGACGACGTCGCCGATTGCACGGCCGACGAGAACCTCGAGTGCTTCGGCGGCCGCGGCATGGCGTTGATCGACGCCTACATGGAGAAGGTCGAGTTCAACGATCGCGGCAACCGTATCACCGTCGCCACCCGCCGCGGCTACCGCCCGCCGATCGACGACGAATGAGCCGTCGGCGCTAGCCGCGGGTGACGCTAAGGAAAACTCACCAACTTAGCGTTCGACCTCGCTATCCCATCGTGACAACCGCGACCGTCGCGTCCGTCATCGCATGGTTGTAGCGAGTTGTGCGTTGCATTGGTCACCGCCGCACACGCCGATCGGAGGCCGTAGGGCGTCGCATCAGCGCTTGCTCATCGTTTGTAGCTCCTGCCACCCCTTAGCGCCGTCAGTAAAGTCAATGACTTGCGTGAAGCCGGCGTCTTCGAGCTTCTTGGCAGCCTTCTCCGACGAGTCGCACGACGAGCTTGCGCAGTAGACAACGACCTGCTGCGACTTGCCGCTGGCCTCCTCTTCGACACGTTGGGCGAAGTCACTCTGGTCCTGGGGGATGTTCACCGCCCCTTCGATCTTGGTCGAGTCGAAATGCTTGCTGGGAAGTGTATTCACCAGCAAGAAGTCCTGGTTGGTCTGCTTCATTTCGGCGAGTTTCAGTGCTGAGATCGACTGCATCTTCTTCTCCTACCGTTAGAGTCCGGTCTTAGTCCATTTGGTCAGCGAGGAACGCCAACGCGGATATCGCTAGCAATTGTGCAAACGACATTCCGTAGCCGTCGGCGGAACGACGCAACGCCATCAAAAGAAGCGGCGCCGTCGGACAATCCGACGGCGCCGCATGATTCGTCAAGGTAAGGTTCACCTTCAACGCTTCATATTCTTCTTGCAGTCCTTCAACGCCTCGGCGAAGCGATCGACATCGCCGTTCCAGCACGTCTTGACGGTCGCGTTGTCCTGTTCGATCTCCACGTTCTCAAGCATCTTGCTCATCGGCTCGGAGTCGATGAACATCACTTTCATCGCGGCCGCGTAACCTTCGACGACCTTCTCCATTTTCTCGGCGACCTTCTCGTTGCGGGCGACGAGCTTCAATTCATCGAACAGCTCGCCATCCTTCTCGCCGAGGGCGTAGCAGGCCCGCTTGTGCTGCCGGAGCAGCGGGAACATGGCCCCTTCGTGCGAGATCGAATCGAGTTCAACCGCTGCGGCGTACACGACAGCGTTATCGGGGATGTCGGCGGTCAGCTCCGACTCTTTACCTTCGAGCGATTCGGCATGGCCTTCGAGCGTTTCGACGGCGTCCTTGAGGCTCCGCACCGATTTGGAATAGACGATCGTTTCATCGTCGACCAGCACCCAAGCGACACGGTCGGACTTATCCCCCCACTTGCTGTCGGATTTGTAATCGCTGGACGAAGCGTCCTTCTTCTCGTCGTTCGAATCCGCCTTATGGTGCTTCGACTTCATCTTGGACGCCTGACACGTGTAGATCTTGTGGCC